AAACCGTCTAAATATTGTGACCGAACTATAGTGCAGCAGACAGTTAGGCTCAAGTGGAAGTAGAAGTTCTGGTTGAGTTGCACCTCAAATCAGACATTTTGTTACTTTAAGCATACTCTTATAGTGTGTGTCACCGAAATCATGTTTCAAAGAATTTACATTTTTAGGTGCATTGGTGCATAAGGAGGAAAGCGGGAAACATGATAAAAATGTGAATAACTGAATCATTAAAATATAATCTATGGAGTTCAAAGGGTCACCATTACATGTACTAATCTTTAGATTGTTTATCGTTACAACAATAATATTATATATCACTGGGTTTGAAGTTCTACCAGAATATAAATTCATATATCTAATATATATGAATTTGAACGGATAATGTTTTTGGCCTTTGGGGACCTCAACTCTACTTTTCTGATCATAAAAAACAATCCAAGTTCTACTAAGATAGTGTCTTATTATTCTAGGACTGATTTCCGCAGTGAAGATATAAGAAGATTGAAATTGTAAATAATGTATAAGTAATTAAATATACTGCAATAAATCTATTGATTCTTTGTATTCTTATTTCAATCTATATATTATTAATTTGGTAGGAGTTATTTTGTGAACAGAACTCCTAGAGTTTTTAACCTATTTGGAAGTACTGTATTTGGTGTAATTTTAAAAGAGTTCACTCTGAAGTTTTGCTAAGCCTAAAATGAGCTTTAATCTCTGTCTCCTTGAAGGTATCTTTCCAGAATAGAGTCTGTTTCATTTGTAAATACCCCTGCCGCAGCAAACCTTGCAGACTAAGCAAATTTCCATTTGCCTGATTGGATTTTCACGAAAATGTCTCTTTAAAAAGTCACATTTTCCCCCTATTTATATGAAAGTAAATAAAGAAACGTCTTATACCACTTAAAACATATATTTACACTTATACTGTTACTCACAAGACGGTAAATATACAACACAGCCCCACCGCAGCAAACCTGCCGACTAAGCGAATTTCCATTTGTCTGAATTGATTTTCAGTTAAATATATTTTAATAACATTAAGTTTAACGAGTACCTAGGTTTGCTGCTACAATGAAACTAATAAAGTGTGTTTTTGAGTAAAATATTGATAGCTTAGTACAAAATAAATAAATTTGCCAAGTTTGATGAAAATATATCCATAAACAAGCAAACTACAACATTTGACAATATTCTCCGTAAGAAAAACATGGGAATTTTAAATTTACAATTTTTTAAATTTTCTCCGTTACTAATAACCGAACAAAAATACTTTTATATACTAAATTATTTGTTTTTTAAGCTCTTTTAAAAAGTCTTTAAGGAGAAATTTTGTGTTTTGAGGGTCAAAAGTGAGAAAAACCAATTTTTACTCCATAAAACCCCCCTTAAAGCCCCGTTCCCATGGTCCGATCATGCTGGTTCGCGAACTCATTCAATTTTATCCCGCTTTACACCTTTAAACCAAATTTCATCAAAATCGGACCAAAATTACTCAAGTGATCGTGTTCACGGACGTATGTATATATATATATATATATATATATATATATATATATATACATGTATACAAATTTGAATGAATGATGTTTTTGGCCTCTGGGGACATCAAAATGAAAAAGTAAATCGGTCCCGGGTCTAGGTCTTACCGTGCCACCTACGGTAATAGCAACTTCCCTATAGGGAAATTCGCTAAAAGGTGGTAAGTGGTGATCGATTTTGATTGGACACTCCAATCATCATCAGACCCAATAGGCGAATGACATTCCCTACGAACCTGAACACCCCAACATTACATTGTACGAACTTGGCCATGAACCCGTACAAAGGACGGATACTCTGCTAGTGTAATTTGAGTTGAATAGCCGAGTTTATTGTTAATTCATATATAAATTCATATAGATATGAATTTGAACGGATGGTGTTTTGGCCTCTGGAGACCTCAAAACGAAAAAGTAATTCAGTCCTAGGTCCAGTCCTTACCATGAGACCTACGGTAATAGCTTATACAGGGTTAGTAAATTTTTGCGTTGTTGGTTTTCTTTTACCAGGACCTTCAAAATGAGGGGTCACTCGATGGGTCTTTTGTTTGAATTTTTTTAGTTTCCCCCAAAATCCCTCATTTTGGGGATGTACACCAAGTGGCGGTTATGCCCAAAAAGTACTTCATAACATGCCATAAAGGTGTACCGAGTTTAGTTTTTCTAGTATGGGCCGTTAAAAAAATAACAGGGGGTCTCCACACTTTTTACTAACCCTGTATAATAGAAAGGGCAAGTGTACATCTGACGTAATAGACAAATTGATAAATGAGGTTCTAATGGTCTTTGCAAGCAAGCCACTTGCTCCTGAGCATTATTATATTATCCTGAGGGTTACTATTCAAGTGGCCTGCCACTTTCTGCGACCTGAGTAAGGTGATTGTGTGGACTATTGTTGTAACTCTTTATAAATAATAAAAACTAAAAGAAAAAAAAGTGTATTATTTCATTAACACAAAAAAATAAAACTAACAAAAACCATAACAATTCAAAGAATATAGATCAAAGATCGTATGATCAGCCGGTAATTAAAATGCAGTCTATTAGAAATTATACCTAACAACTATGATGACCTTACAATGAAATTAAATTTTTATGGTATCAACGGAACTCCACTCTTGTTTTTCAATTGATACCTAAACAATAGAACACAAAAAGTCTGTATTGATGGAGAATGGTTCCAGGAATTAAAAATAAAATATGGCCTGCCTCAGGGATCTGTTCTAGATCCTCTGTTATTTTTAATCTGTATTAACAACCTCCAAAATGTATAACTAGTAAAATTTTAAAATTTAAAACTAGTTAAATTTTATAATAAAAGCTTGGGGAACCTAGTGGGGGATAATCTGCACTCTTGAAGAGGTTCAGTTCAATGTCTGCCTAGTAGCTACTCAAGGTGTTCAACACTGTGCCTTCGAATCCGATAGCGTACTTTTCAAGCTTTGCCAACAGGATGTCGTGTGAAACCACGTCGAAGGCCTTGCTCAGGTTGCAGAGTCTCAAAAATACCGACTCGCTAAGCATCTGTAATAGCACTGACAAGATTCAAGAGAGCAGAGGATGTTGAGCGGCCACTCCTAAAGCCATGCTGAGCATTTGAGAATAGATGGTTGTTTTTTAAATATGCCGACAATTGTCTCTTCATTATGGTCTCCAGCACCTTGTAGAAGACAGGCAAGATAGAGATTGGTCTATAATTTGCTGGGATTGAGGAGTCACCCTTCTTGAAGATGGGGATAGTCCTGTCCAAGTCCCATTCCTTTAATCTATGCTATTGTCCAGACGAGCGTTGAAACATTGAAACTAGCCTATACATACAGTATATCATCCATCTTATCCCGGTCAGTGTCCAGAAGACAGGCTTGCAGTGAACGGAGGTGTTCGGCCTCTCACTTCCTACCTATCAGCACTCATCTCCCTACTACAGAGTGGTGGAGGGAACTCCACTCTTTAAAATAAGATGAGTATTTAATTGTATAATACTTCAGCCTAGACGTATATTTAATTATTTATTAATTGGCTCATGTTAAAGTTACTTTGATAACTTAATCTCATTGTATTACATATAAAAAAAAGGAATAACCTATTACTATTTGGGAAAGTTTAACTATTTGGTCAGCAATTAGCTCATGTTAAAACTATGTAACTCTGATAATTTAACCTTCCGTCGGGCAGATTGATTTTCAAACACCAAAGGGCACTCACGGAAGTTACAGTACCTCCGGGAGTACAAAAACTATACAAAGATGAGTAAAAAATTGTCATAGCAATAAAACTGTAAGAAAAATATATTTTATTAGTTACTAGCTGTGTGTGTTCTACCAATAGTCAAAGGTTCTACGTGGGGTGAATAAAATATATTGTACAAACAATACAATGAAGAATCTTATTATGTCAAGTATAAATTCGAGCATTTTATTTAGAGTAATAATAAAAAGAAAGAGAACTAACACAATAGTAAGTGGTGTATTAAAAAGAAATATTAATAGTATAGATAGGACTACATGGAAATAATTAAGAGTTAAACTATTAAACAAAATGATACTATAATATGGTTTTTTTATTACAATAAAACATTTAAATGAGAAGTTGTATGAATTATAGTATTTAGAAGATCTTCACCTTCTTTCACACAAGGTTTCTTTTGTTTACAAAGAGTCCAAAGAATCCAAATGCTTCAATAGCGACTTTGTGAACCATGGTGTATTCATCCCATACACTTAGGAAGCACGCTAGCCATTGGGGAGTTCCTTAAAATGTAAGGTTGTATTGTATCAAATAGCATTCAAATATATTAATAAAATTATTGAAATTACAACACCAAAAAAATGTTTCACCTTGCTCTTAAAAACATAGTAAGGCCACTTTTCTTATGGTTTGTTATAATGCACATTCAATATTATAAAAAATGAACAAAAACTCTCACTACTTATAATTTATTCAACATAACCCAAATGTTAAAATACAACAACAGTTTTATCAATGATTGTATATAAAAAATCACAAACAATCGAAACTCTTGTTCATAATCATGTTCATAATATTATTACGGAACACGTCACCCGTTCTATAGTCAATGGCTAATACCATTGACTATATTTTTTGGGTGCAACCACTAACCAGGCATGGCCCCACTAGAAAAAAAAACAGGCCATGCTGCAGGATCCATATGACGTCACACTAGTGGATAGATTTCATTGATAAATTCACAGCCATCGCCATTCCCATATGTTTTAGGTAAATAAACAAGCTGGCTGTTTGTAAGATTTTAATGGTAAGAGCAAGAGCCAAAAGAGCCGTACAACTATCCACCACTGTGACGTAGTGTTGCAGCGCAACACTAAGCTAACCTTTAGGTTTATTTTCTTTGCTTAAACAAACAAAACAACTAAGAAGAAGAAGTAAACTCTTTTTTATATTATCAGTAGTTATCAGTTATCATCAGTATCGAGTATCCACATCCACTAACCTAACCTATTGAACTTTCAAGTTCTATTGTTTATCAGTAATTTTAATCTGTTTAGATTGCTATATTTTTATTAATTTAGTATAGTATTTTGTTAAGTGTTGCTTTTATTATTTTCAAAGTGAAATATGCTTTTTTGTAAGATGATGAAGTGTGTAGCTGCAGAACATCAACTTTTCAGCTTTGTTATTAAAACATAGGCTAGGCCTAATGATACTACAAAACTTTTCTATATTTTTTTAATTACAAAACAAATAAATTAACTTTGTATAGATAAATATGGCTTTTAAATCTTGTGTCCCAGAGATTGCTCGTTTGTCCTCTAGGGTCATTTCAATACTAGGATGCAACCCAGGGCCCATGACCTTACAAGGAACTAATACATATCTAATTGGAACTGGAAAGAGGTGACATAATGATTTTTTTAAAGTTTTGTAAGCTTAGCCTAGGCCCTATAAAAAATATCTTATTCTAAATGTAGAATAGATCCTACTGTCAAAAGGTTAACCAGCTATGCCCATGCACTAGCTTATGCCTATTTATCCTTACGGCAGGACATCCAAACGGAGAGTTAATGATATAGCATTGCTTATAGGCTTCCATGTAAACCCTGTCATAGTTTGAGGACCGGACCTTGATGACTGTCTGGTGTAAAGTTTTAGAGACTTTAGGGCCTATAGGCCTCTAGTTCTTTTGTAATCAGTAATTAGAATAGTTAGTTTAGAAATAGGAAATCTTTCTTTTGTAGGCTAATTAGAATAGTACAGTGACACAATGTAAAATTCACCACCAACCAATATCGATAGCTTATATACTACAACTGGGGTAAGAAACTCATCCTCTTGACATTGTTTGTGTCCAATATGTCAAAGCACAGTTAAACATCACGGTTCTAATTTACATAACACACTGATGTGTAGGATAGAATAATTCTGAATAGACTTTCATTTAAAAAAAAAATAAAAATCAAAAAATCAATTTGGATTTCTAAAGAAAATATCAACCACAAACGCTATATTTGAAGTAATTAAATATTAGCCTAACCTACCTTCCATCTTGATGGAAATAATAATGTAATTGCACTCTTTTTGGATTTAAAAAGCCTTCAATATGGTTTGTCATAACAAACTTTTAACAAAATTAAATAATATAGGAATAAGTAAGAGGAATTGCACTACAATGGTTTGAATCTTACCTTAGTAACAGGCAGCAGTCAGTCTAAATTCCATTTATTGATAACAACAATAATGTAAAATATTATACCGTGGTTCAGAAAAAAACTTGAAACAAAATCAGGTGTCCCACAAGGTCCAATCTATGAAAAATGCATCAAAATTTAAGGAGTTTTATTTATTAGGCTACTAAACCTAATTGTACTGTCGATACAATTTATATTGTCCAGACAATAAAGTATTTATTTATTGGACGCAACTTAATCAGGTTTTGGAGTAACATGGGGAACATGGCATTACTAATTTGTCTTCTTGACAATGAGGATTGTTCAAAACTTTGATATGCGACTCCATTGTAGGCTACTATCAAAACATAAAAGGACCTACCTACTGATTTTATCAATAAACAAACTTATAACAATTAATAATACCATAGACTAACCAACACAAGTAGACTTCTCATCCCATTGTAAAATTTGAAGCACGTTTTTCGTGTCTAGTTCATGTATGGTGACACAAAGGCGCTAGTGTCGATGAAACTTTGTTTCCATTATTTTAGGGCTAATTTCTTGATTTGTGCTTTACTGTTTGGTTATATAACTAGGGGACAAGTTATTGTTTATGATTAGATCGTATTATTTGGTTAAACGAGGTTTTAAATGGCTGTAATAACGGGAAACAAATTGTAAACAAAACACGACCTCTACATAAACCGTACATGAACTAACAATACAAATTGTCTTCAGCTGTTCCATAAGGATGAGAAATCTACTAAGGGAGTATGTTTTATCTATGATAATACTTACTCTGGAGTTGGATATCAAAGTTTTCCCGAGGAATGTATAGTCTTCTAAACTTAAGAATCTCACACTGTTCGGACAAACATGGCCTAAGTTAGCCAACAAACCATCGGTTTCCTCACTTTTAAGCTAAATATGAATTTATTATAATAGTAACTTACGCCTACGCATTTCACAGCTATAAAATTATGAACTGTAATTTTAACTCATAATATTCCAGGCGGATACTATTGGATACAGGAGATGAAAATGTCCCTCAATACATTGCCAACTTGTCCAAGGTGTTGAAAGATGAAGTATGTGATATTGAACATGTTGTTGTAAGTCATTGGCATCATGACCATATAGGGGGAGTTCCAGATGTACTTAAATTGACCAAGTCAGGTAAGCTTTTGACAATTAAGGATGCCTACGGTTGAACCTTAACCAAACAAATCAAACCTCAAAAATTTAAAACAAATTAAACAAATCCCCATATTAATCAAAATGTATTAATCTTCTGTGAATATGTCAGTATACCATACCACAACCTTTGTTATTGTACCTCTATTATTTGTTGGTTGTTAATATGACCTTAATTAAGTAGTGCTCTCTTGCTATGCCACACCGCTATGCCACATGTTCATCAGAGACATAAGGTCTATCAACTGCATTTAACTGTAGGCCTACCTAGTTTCCTTAAATGATATTGTCAGGAAAATTGTGTGTTGTTAAAACTGTAGGCTAGAGAAATTCTTAAATTCTTGGTATTGACAAACTTGAGAAAATAAGCTGGTGTCTGCCCTGCTGTCAAAGGGCATTTCACCCATTTGCCACATTCAAATCTTTTCATAGCTTGCTTTGAGAAATATTAACGGTTGGTTAATTTTGTCTAGAAAATTTTTTAATTGTTGGTATCGTTTCAAATTTTGTTTTTACAGATTGCAAAGTTTGGAAGTATCAACAAATAGACGAAGACGGCAATTTAGTACCCTCTGAAATACCATTCAACTGTTTATCTAACGGTCAAGTTTTATCAACTGAAGGGGCCTCATTGAGGTAGACCTAAGTATTAAAATTCAGTGACTTGTGGCAGTAAAATTAAAAATATACATGCTTGCGTTGGTTGGCCACTTTAAATCTATTTACCTCTTGATCAGGTTACTACTTAACTTCTTTTGTTGCCAGTATTTTTGTAAAATGGTAGTTACTGTGAGCAAATAAATAAAAATCAGAAAGATGAATACCTACACTAACAAAATAGGAAATTGTTCTTCTTTTGACTAGGACTACTGTCCAATTGTTTTACTCAGTATAAATGTATTTTAAATAGCATATTACTCATATGCACCTTTTTTTATAAGAAGACTATTGAATGTTACAGGCTAAGTAATACAATTTTTCTTTATGTGTCCCTGAACACAATAAGCCTAACTGGAATAATTTTGATACAATTTTGATGATATTTAGTATGAATTTGAAGAGCTGGATAAAATTTAATGAGTTTGCAAGTCAACAAGATTGGGTAATGAGAATGAGGTGGCAGATGTAGGTTTTAAAGTTTTTTTTTTAATAATCAACCTTTAAATCATGAAAATGCCCAACTTTTATGACAGCTAGACCTATTGCTAAAAAAAATAATTATTTGTACCCCAGTGTTTTACAAATAAAGGTTAACCCTGTCCATTTGGATTAGTTGACCCCTTGTTGTCCCATACGCTTACATTTAATTTCATGCAAAAAACATGTTTTGGGTTTTGTGTACATATACTGTTGAATAGTATGTTGGTAAAGTTCAAGTTAGGCCTAATTAGTTTCAAACAATTTGACATACACAATTCTTGTCCAGTTTAAAAACTTTCAATTGTTGCCAACACTCACTTTTAACTACAGGTATATTGATTGGCTTGACACCACCCTAAAGACTCGCTAGAAAATGTGCAAGTACTAGTTCGATAAATAAACCAACCCTTTGGATAGGTAGTAGTTGAATTACTAATTTTTTCAGGACTGAGTGGGATACCCGCAGGCCTCTAATTAGATTAAATCTGTATTTTATCTTGCAGAGTGATACACACTCCAGGACACACAACGGACCATGTAGTGCTGACCTTGGATGAAGATGGTGTGTTATTCAGCGCGGACACAGTTTTGGGAGAAGGCACGGCTGTGTTTGAAGATCTAAAAGATTACATGAACTCTCTACATGTTATAAAGGATGCCAAGCCTAAAGTCATCTTCCCTGGACACGGTCCTGTGATTGAGGTTAGCAATTTCATTACTTGAGAATCTGTATTTTGACGATAGGCCTAAATTTTGTCATACAATCTGAAGACAGAACTTTACAACAATGGCCTAACTATCTGTGGTGTTTGTTCAAGCAGTAAATGTTCTCATACAGTTTGAAACATGTATTTCAATACTATCCCATATAGAGGGCCTATATACACCTATACACTGGATAACTTGATAACTACAGAACTTAACAGTAGCCTATACAGGCTTTTGATCAGGCCACTTTGATCTTGAGAATCTGTAGGTTTAGAAAAAGATTTGAAAATTTACCCTGCTGAAACTTTTAATTAAATAATTTAAGCCAAAGAATCAGTTTCCGTTCAATTATTGACTTTTGTATACTGAAGCAGACATAAGGACCAGCTGTAGCTAGTTTTTCATTAAAACCCATAGTTAAATGAGCCACTTATTTTTTCCCTTAGTTTATGTCACTGCACGTGATAGTTGATGTGACATAAACAATGCTGGAGTTTATGACAAATTGTCCTTTAAAGTTAGCTTGGTTAAACAAATTGGCATATTTGATAGGAATCAGTAAGTTACTCATTGGCGTAACTTACGCCAATGCAACCAATATGGTGCACAGGGGTGCAGGCCTTCATGGGGCGCAAAAATCTGATATTCTGGAAAATGTTTAGCAAAAAAATATCTCCCTGTAGCTTACCAAAAAAATAAATGTAAAAAAATGTATTTGTGGTACTTCATTCCATTACATTGACAACAGAATGTTAGTGACTCTTTTGTTTACTATTATCATGATCTCCTTGGTGCGACGTGCACATCTGCGCTTATTGCGTTCTTATCACAAGAATAGACTGCTCTTGTTTACTTATCGTTGTTAGCTACAAAGATAGACAGATAAAATCTTTTAGTATTATTTAGTAATCTTGATCTTAGTTTAATTAGTATTGAACATGAAAGAGCTCGGTTATTAGATGTAAAAAATTAGCAAAACCGGTCATAGAAACAATGTTTAGAAACAAACAAAATTTAGAGCTGCCTACAATTCATAGTTACAATTCTGTATTAATTTCTATTCCCTGACAAAACCCCTATGGCTCATTACTTGATACTTACTTACTTAAGTAAGTAAGTAAGTAAGTATCAAGTAATGAGCCATAGGGGTTTTGTCAGGGAATAGAAATTAATACAGAATTGTAACTATGAATTGTAGGCAGCTCTAAAAGAATGAATCTTCTAGTAAAATTACCTAATCAAATTTTGAATGATGAAACATGAACATTATATTGTAGCTTGCGATATCATGTATACTATATAGGGTTTTGAATAAATATAAAATGTTAAGTAAAGTAAGAAGTAGGCTAGTCTATATTTTATCGTCCTAATAAGTACATTAATTAATGTGTATGTAGGCTAATCCTTACTTCAGTTATGTTAATGGTGTTTGGAAATGTTTACAAACTTAATTTTACTTTCAATGAATTTTTTTAACAATATTTTTTTTATAATTCACTTTATGGTTACCTACTCTACATAATAAATTATATTTCTTTTAATAACCTTTCTCTAATTGGATAGAGCTTGCACAATGTCGTGTGTAGTGAAATAGTATCCAGGAAGTATGGAAGTATAGAGAAATGTCATTGTTAGTTACTTTGGAGATTATTTGGGGGAGTGGAGATTAAGTCTGCGAATAGGGGCGCACGGGGAATACTTGCATCGGGGCGCAGTCAGACTAGTTAGCCACTGAATTTACATACAGTAGACTTCCTCTTATCCGGACTCCTCAGGACCGAGGCCAGTCCGGATAACGGGTATTCCGGTTAAACCGACGTCCCCAAAAACTCGTTAAAACGGATTGTTTACTGTGATATTCAACTTAAATTTAGGAGAGCATTGTATTTAGACATGTGATCACTGGTCTCAAATCTTTCCCACGAGAACAGTCGTTACAGTACTGCCTACTTCCTGCCGATCTAGTCCGATTAAACCAATGTGGTGATAAAAATTGTCCGGTTAAAGAGATGTCATTTCCGCCGAGTGTAGTCCGGTTGAACCGATGTCCGGTTAAAAGGTGTCCGGATAAGAGGGAGTCTACTGTAAGCACATTCTGTTGACTCGTTTCAACTCTGATAATATTTATTCTAAAACTGGCTACAACTTAAACATGGGAATAGAATGTCCAGTTTTATACAGTCAACGTAGCATTTTAATCATATCGACTGTACTCACATATAGTGTAAGATAACTGATAAGCCTAAACTGAGTCACAATTACATCAGAGGTGTGTTAGTAAATTCCCTATCAAATTTAATAAGTTTGAAGTTATAATGGTTAAATAAAAAGTATATACTCTCTAGTCAACTAAAATGTAATTCATGTAGTTTTGTTACAGAACCCAGATCAAGTAGTGGCATACTACATTGCTCATAGACAAAATAGAGAAGATCAAATTGTGAGTGTGCTAAAGATGGCGCATCAACCTCTTAGTGCTGCTGAGATTGTGCAAACCATATATTCTGTAAGTTCAGAAAATTGTATATTTCTTTAAAGAACTATAAATTTTCCAACAAGAGTTACAAAAATGGATAATGATAATAAAATGATAATGTACCATAAATGTTCATTATTATTTTGTTTGTTTTTTAGGATTTAGATGAACGACTTTTATTGGCTGCAGAAAATAATGTTATTAAACATTTGATCAAGCTTGTAAAAGAAGAAAAGGTCATTGAAATTGATGACAAATGGCAAGTAAGTACCTACTTTAAGAATTGTAAATGTATCCTTCAGTGAACAAAAACCACAAAAATCTGGAAGAGTTTGGGTTTTGAGATTCGATCAGAACTTGTGTCACAGCTGACCACGTCAGACCGTAAATAAGCTGATAGCTAAACTAAATTGATGGCTTCGACATTCCCTAGTTCTCAAAATTATATTTCTTTTTAACACAAAACCCATGAAAACCCGTCAAGCGGTTGATTCAGAATCTTGAAATAAAAAAATCCTGTCACGTTTTAAATGTTTTAATATACTGTATATGATTAGACACATAAGGCAGTCTAAATCCTTTCAGGTTTGATTACACAAGAACCAGGCAAGTTTTTGCATTTTGCATTTAGGTATCAAGATTTGGAATTCTATTTTTTAAGTTTTAGTTTTGAGATTCAAAATATCTAGTTTTGACGTTAGGGATCTTTAAAAACATCATACAGGGTCTATATAAAGTCCCGCACGGGCTTAATATTTTCTAAACGACAACAGATAAATCAATAAGATTTGGTACATCAACACCACACCTAAAAATCGACTTTGAACTATGAACTTTCTGTCATATCATGGACACAATGCTCATGGGGCTCATGCTCATGCATGGGGACATGAGAGGAGTCAGAAGAAAATCTTAAATGGAAGCATAGGTCAATATGCACATCAAATGAAAGGTCTTTTTTAGTAGAATACAATGCCGTAAACCGCACTTCAAAAGGTTGATCCTGTGCAAAATGGCAGCCGTTCAAAGATTTCTTGAATCTGCCATTTTGAATCTTTGAACGACTGCCATTTTTTACTCAGGCGTTCTTTTGAGCTTGAATTTACGGCATAGTAATCTACTAGTGAAAACCATTAATTTGATGTGCATATCCACCTATGCTTACGTTAACAATTTTCTTCCGATTCCTAGGTCTGTGCCCCCTGAGGAGTAAGCGTATAATCGGAATGCAAATTAAATGAATCTTTGAACAACTGTCATTCTTGGCTCGGTTGTCCGTTTGAGTTCAAATTTGCGGCATTATATTCTGTTAGTAAAGACCTTTAATTTGATGTACATGTCAACCTATGCTTCTATTTAAAATTTCCTTCCGACTCCTTAGGGGACGTCCCCATAATATGACAGAAAATTCATAGTTCCTTGAAAAAGTAGATTTTTAGGTGTGGTGCTGATGTACCAAATCTTATTGATATATCTGTTGTCGTTTAGAAAATATTAAGCCCGTGCGGGACTTTATTATATACACCCTGTATATATTTGGCCTGGACCTAGAGCAGAGGAATCTTTTATCTCTCTACCCCCTAACGGTTATTGTGGCCAGTACACGCAGCGAACGAGCTCCAACCTAAAGGTGAGAACTTCAACCAGGACGTGATTGAGCCATGCGAACGAGCTCACTTGTGAAGTTAAACAGGGCAAAGCCCGTGGGTACAGCTATTTGCAGGTTATTAGAAGAATATACAGTGCTTATCTTTCCATAATATTATGGAACTCATATAATAAAAGAGACTTAATGTCGACTTTAAAGGACCAATTCCCTCAATTACATGAAATAAATACATTCTAACTATCGTTGATGGGTTTTCGTTTTCAAGATAACCATTTGCTATTCCGTGTGTGTGCCTAGACATCAATCTTCACACTGCAAACGTTCCTTACTGTGCACCGCTACAAATGAAATGCCACACGAACGCTTATTTAAACATTTAAGACGCTCATAACCTCTCAACCACAGTGACTGATGACCCCGGGACCGGTATTAGTTAAGACGTTATGAGGCATGTGCGTAACAACAAGTGTAACTTGCTGTAGTTGATCAGGCTCAACTTAGTCTTCTAGAGTCTACTAGATATTTGATAATAGTAGCTATGAAAAACTTGGATGTATCCTATTAAAGAAACACTCGGTAGTATAGACATTTTCATTTATTTATTGTTAAAGAACATTTTCAAACGTTTAGACATTGTGCTTTAATCACAAAGTTTCTGAACACTGACTTCATTAACATACAGCAAACAATTAGGAACAAATGTCACTACTAATAGCTAAATGCAAAGGCAAATTAAGGGCTGCATAACATCAAAGAGGATTGCATTTTATAATAACTTGTAAAAAAACATGCAGCTTAAAAAAAAAAAATAAATTATTTTTTACAGTGTTTCACGATAAACTCTTAAACACACATTTAAAAAGTATATCTCACTGCTCCAGAATTGATAAATAAGACATTTCAATCTTTTGAATCTTGTGCTTTTAATTTAAACGTGCTACTCATCAAAAAGTTGATTGGTTTCTGGAGAAATATTTCAATTTGCTTGTATACTTTTCAATATTTAATACATATTACCTTTTGTGATTACCTTTTTATCCAAAAATATCTTGCTTGGAAATCAATTTAATTCAAATACATTTTTACAGAGCTCCATAGCTTGAAGGTTATTAAGTACAAAAACTCAAATACAACCATAATATTAAAACCATTAAGCATCCCAAAAATGCTGATACAGTAAGCCAAGAACTGACTCATGTTGGTTATGCTTACACCAACTCGGACTGTAGCATAGCATCCTTTTTCTTTGTAATGTAAATCTATTGATCCGGAAGTTCCCCCAACATCCCTTTTCCCGAGCAATAAACCCAACTCCTTTTTTCTCAAACTTGAGCGACTTTTATATGACTCTTTAAGTTCATAAGATAAGGATATACAGTCCGGTAAGCATCCACAGTCACACATTTCCTTATTCATAGAACATTCTTGAAAGCAGATCTTTGTGGAAATGTTGAGTCGAGGCAGGTAATATGGAACACATCCACACACATTTAGAGAACAGTTAGCAATACATTCAGTCTCACAGTTTTTTTCTGTGTAGAATTTGAACATGGACAACTCTCTTTCATAGGAAAAATAACAACCTCTCTGATGAGACGAATAGGTTTTGATGCCTTCATCTGTTGTCAAGAGTTTGGGAATCACTTTCAAATGTTTTACAAATCCTCCTTCAAGAATGAAGTCATTTTCAAAGTTAAAAGGAATTTCAAAAGGGCTGTGTACAGCAAAAGATGTTTGTGCCTTATTTTCTTGAAAACATGGTTCCCCTTCTTGTTCGTCTGTAATAATATGTGACTTGAGACGGATGGCTTGATCATTGGTAATGTACATTGGTATGGTATGTATATTCCCGCCAGAATAGAGTGCATTTTCTAAGTTCAAATTTTCCCCAGTGTAGTTTTTCTCTGAATTTATGTTGGAGCCATGTTTTGCTGATAAAATAGGAATTGCAGTTTTTTTGTAAATGTCTTCATGATGCAATCCATTAATAGTTATACACACACTCTGATTTGTTAAGGAATATTGGCAGTGGTTATAAAAACAGCCTGATTCATACGCTGTCCCGAGTCCACCTTCAGATAACTCTTTGAATAAATTAATGTCGTACCGTAAACTGATAGCTTGAAATGCATAGTTTGGGAAATCTACAAAATTTATAGTTTGCTGAATCTTTTCATGGAATACTTTTGATAACAGTAGATTAGAAGGCAATAGAGATGAGCAAAGAAGATAGATTAAGCCTAAGGAAGCTTGCTCTTCATGGGTACAATCTTCGTTAAAACAATAACTATGGTAATTATTGTGATCTTGATCAATGCTATCGTCTTGATTATCATACGTGGAATTGGATTTGCATTTCCAGCAAGTCTCTACTACTCCAGCATAATCTGATCTGATAATGGGTTCGAGCGGATAGCACATCGTTATAGCTGGGAATGGGATTTCACTGGCCAAAGTTAAGTTATTAGAGATATATCTTATAACGGGTGTACTTTGCCAGCTGTCATACTCTTCCTTGATGAAAAAGAGGCTCAGCAGTAATGCTAACATTTGGATAGATACCCACAAATAGGTGTGCAATCGAGGTTGGTTCCTTTCTCCAAGAAACTGAAATCCAGGCAAGCTTATAGACTTTGTTATGTCTCTGAAGTAAGAATGTGGAAAATAGTCTTCATCCAAATGAAAGGTGTCATGTCTGTATTCAATATCAGATTGACACACGTTGGTATTTACTGATCTGTCAATTGTATCTAGAGAGCGAAAATTACCTGAGTTGGTACACTGACTGGATTCCATGCACTTTAAAAGCTCTTCCACCTTGTTCAATCTTATTTCAACCAATTCTAGCTTGAAGGAAGAATCTTGCTGCTCCTGTTCTGGTGGAAACGAAGGATTCATGTTGCCAAACACGATAATTTGTGAATAAATACAAGTTCTGATTTGAAAGTTCACAATGATGCCTTTAAAATGTATTAAACACTTTTTACAAATATACAGTTCTACTTCAGCATCAGTATACGATTGTGTTACTTATGATATCCTGTTAAAATAATTAGGAAAATGTATCAAAATTACCCTGTTTATTTATTCAAACAGCTAATTTTATTACAACCACACCCTGTTAATTTGGGTAGCACAGGAGTAGAGTTTTCAGGCTGTTTTATAGGATCAATGACAGGACAATTAATTTTATCTACCTTATAAAAAACATAATTAGTAAATAGCAAATAGTATTATTACAAAAAAATAATACATATCCACGGACTCAAAATCTAAAATAAACTTTTTCAAATTATAAACCAAAACTGTAATTTGTTGTAATTAAGTCAAATCTTATCTATCTATCTATCTATCTATATATTATCTATATATTAATAGGCAAGCATGTTTCTTTAAAACCTTTTTTCTCAGCTCGTGTGAATCGTAGGGAAAATCTACGCATACCGTTGGAAAGCTATTTTCCTGTAGGTGTGCAGAATCCCTTTATAAATTTAAATAGGCTCAAAGATAAGCACAAAAAATGAGTTTAAAAATTTGAAAAAATTAACATGGATCTTATGCGTTGCTATGCTGGTTACGAAATAACAACGAAATATAAACAGAAAATCAAAACAAATGGAGGAAACTCCAATCACATGTTTTATTTACAGTGTG